TGTTTTTGGCTGTGCAAAACCTTTTTTGTTTGATCAGATCCCAGTAATGTATTTTTGGTGTTGCTTCAATTGCCTGAGGGGCCCTCCTCCTAAAATATTCTCCCAGGCCAATTTCTTCAAGTGTTTTCCCTGCACTCTCTTCTAGTATTTTTATAGTTTCATGTCTTAAGTTTAAATCTTTTATCCAGTGAGAATCAGAAACTAGTTTTAGAGGCAAAAAGAATACTCCCTCGTACCAGTGAATGCACATTGCTTTGAGTGTGCAGTGTCCTTGCCAAGCAGATGGAAGGACTGGGAGGGTCCAGGGATGAAGCTGCCTGGCAGTAACAGAGACCCAGCTCCAAAGGGGGCCTTGCCTTTCAGACTGCCTCAGTAGCAGCATTGCCTTTCAGGGCGACTCATCCTCAGGGGAGGAATGCTTACTGTGTTGTCAGTAACAGTGATTTCTGCCTCTGACCCGGGTTACTCACCACTCTTGACCCCAGTGGAAATGCCCAGCTGGGAGGTAAGACTGACATTTTGTCATTGCTGTACCTTGGTCACCACCTGCAAAGCAGCAAGACAAGTTTTTCCATCAGACGGCTTTAGAGAATACCAGACAATTGCTGCTGAAGGTCGCAAATGCCAATTATCATTTCCTATAGAAATCCTATGCCTTCTTCTGAGCTACAGCTATTATATCTAAAGGGTGCAGTCAAAGGTCAATCTTGGAAACTTGTCCCGAGTCTGAGGCTTTCCCATTCAACATTCCATTGTATGTATGTATGTATGTATTTATGGTTTGAGACAAGGTCTCACTGTGTCCTCCAGGCTGGAGTGCAGTGGCGTTATTCATAGCCCCCTGTAACTTTGAACTCCTGAACTCAAGATATCCTCTTATCTCAGCCTCCTAATTAGCAATGACTATAAGCATATGACGTCATACCTTGCAATTTTTTTATTTTTTGAGAAACGGTCTTGGTCTGTCTCCCAGGGTTGAGTGCAGTAGTGTCATCATAGCTTACCATAACCTCAAACTCCTGGATTTGACTGATCCTGCTGCCTCTCAACCTCTTGAGTAGCTGGGACTACTGGTGCCTGCCACAACACCTGGCTAATTTTTTAAATTTTTGTAGAAACGGGGTCTTGCTCTTGCTGAGGCTGATCTTGAGCTCTTGGCTTCAAGCGATCCACCTGCCTTGGCGTCCCAGAGTACTAGGATTATAGGTGTGAGCCACTGTGCTCAGCCTTCACTTGATTCTTGAAAAAGAAAACGCACCCAGTCACTGCATGGTTAGATTGTTTCTGTATGGCTAGCTTAAGCAAACAGGGAGTTTATTAGAAGGACCCGGGGCAGCTCACGGGACTGAAGGACTGTGCAGCAGCCAGGACTTGGTGGAGTTTGTGTTCCTTCTCCAGCTCAGCCCTCTGGCTCCAGCCTCTGATCTCTCTCTTTTTTTTAAGACAAAGTCTTACTCTGTAGCCCTGGGTAGAGCACCATGGCATCATCATAGCTTACAGCAGCTTGAAACTCCTGGGTTCAAGTGATCCTTTCATCAGCCTCCTGAATGGCTGGGAATACAGGCACCCGCCACAGTGCCTGGCTAGTTTTTCTATTTTTAGTAGAGACAGAGTCTGGCTTTTGCTCAGACTGGTCTCCAACTCCTGAGCTCACATGATCCTCCAGCCTCAGCCTCCCAGAGTGCTAGGATTACAGGCCTGAGCCACCACATCTGGCCAGCCTCTAATCTCTTGATTTCAGCCAGATTTTAGAATCTGGTTGGCCCAGTCAGGCCTGGGGTTGAAGGGCAAGGACTATTTAGTACCATTTAGTTACTGGGGGCCCACTCTGAGTAGTATTCTTTTTGCTCTGGCAACCAACCCTATAACCATAATATTGATTTATGCTATGCTGATATCTGTCCCATAGCTGCTTAGTAACTGTTAGAAGGTTAAGAAACTCCTCCAGGACAGGCCCAAGGGTGATTGGATTTAGGATAGTCCATCTGACTATAACTGATACCTGAGTCTGACCAGAACCCACCTACCCATTTAGCTCAGTCAACAGGTTCATTCACGGTGATTAAATCCAGTAGAGGAAGGCTAGAGAGAGGTTGTGGCATCCTGGCGTGAGCGCTGACACCTGTCCGGGGAGAGGGGTCCTATCCATTGGAGTTCATGGGTATTTTTGTCCCATGGGTTGTAAATCTTGAGTTTTACTTGGGATTTTCAGCTGAGTATAATCCAAACTCTCTGTCAGAAGGATGTGTACAAAAAGCATCTGTGTCTCCCCAGTCCCAGAAAAACGTGGCTGAGGGACGGCCCTCTGAGAACAGAGGCCCCAGGCACCAGCTGCCGCTTCCCGTAGCTTTCCTTCTACTGCCCTGCACCGGGCTGCGGGCGCCTTCTCTTCCACACTTTAATCAAGGAAAGCAGAATTTCAGCTGAGAAGGTGAGATTGCAAAAGAGAGAAGAGATTGCTCAGTTCACTGGTAAATATCAAGCCAGAGTCCAGGCCAAGGGAAGAAGGTTGAGTAACCAGAGAAAAGGCCAAATCCTCCGAGATGACGTTGGGCTAGAGCTTGGAAAGTGAGGGGGCTCTGGGTCTGTCCCACCACATGGAGGGCGAGGCCAGGACACAAACTTTGTGGTATATGTTTTTTATGTACACATGTTGTTTTAGGACAGTGGTTCTCAACCTTCCTAATGCCGTGGGCTTTTAATACAGTTCCTGTGGGTCATGACCCACAGATTGACAACCGCTGCTCTAGGACAAGGCAGGCTGAGGAAGGAAGCAGCTGGCTCCAACTAGGCTGTGACTCGTGGCATCTGACATGAGAACTGGATTCATGAATTTGCTTCTGCAGGTTCTCTGTGCAATGGTGGGCAGCATGGGCAGTGCACAGGGTGCCCCTGGCAGGGGAACTTGGCGGCTGACGTCAGCCTATACTGCACTTACTCTTGAAGCTGCAACAAGGTGCTTTGTGGGCTGTGGGCTCGTGAGTGGCTCCTTTGGCTTCAGCTTGGATCTGCTCTCTGAAGGTGTAGGAACACCGGTCCGTTTGCCTGGGCTGCTTGGTATAAAATTCTGGAATCACCAAGCATTTCCATCTTGAGTGGCATGCCTCTACTGGCAGCAAGATGGAATTTTGTATTTGAGACAGAGCTCACTCTGTCATCCTGGGTAGAGTGCTGTGCCATCACAGCAATTTCAAACTCTTAGGCTTGAGCAATCCTCTTGCTTCAGCCTCCCGAGTAGCTGGAACTAGAGGTGCCCACCAGAATGCTCAGGTAGTTTTTCTATTTCTATTTTTATTTTATTTTTTTTTTTGCCATTTTTGGCAGGGGCTGGGTTTGAACCCACCACCTCCAGCATATGGGATCAGCGCCTTACTCCTTTGAGCCACAGGCGCCGCCCAGTTTTTCTATTTTTAGTAGATAGAGTCTCACTTTTGTTCAGGCTAGTCTTGAACTCCTGAGCTCAAGCAATACACCTGCCTTGGCCTCCCAAAGTGCTGAGATTACAGGTGTGAGCCACTGCACTTGGCCAGTAAGATGGAATGTTAAAAAATGTATCCTGGCTCACCGCCTGTGGCTCAAGCAGCTAAGGTGCCAGCCACATACACCTAAGGTGGTGGGTTTGAATCCCCAGCCCGGCCCGCCAAACAACAATGATG